AATTTATCTATTAATTTAACTATTAATGGGAGAATAGGTACCTTTTCTCTAAGTTTGGTGAAAACAAATGATAATTTTGAACAACATTTTCAGGTAAATTTGGATTAAAATTATTTGCTTTTCATTTGATTAACAAATTATTAATAACTTTTACTAATACCCTTAAAACAAGGTTAATCATCTCTCTCACTTTCTCTTGACTTCACTTCTGATCCCAACCATAAAAAACTCTGCCACATCGGAATCTCCGTGTAAAATAATTCATACAAGTTCAATTGCTTCAAGAAGTGGTAAAATTGATTTTGATAATCTCTACGGTGAAAAATCTAATGGATTCTTGGAATTATATGCGAACACAAAATTAATGGTTAGTAAAATAGTTGATGCATTTAATTTATATGTAATATACCGTATTTTTTTATAACTAATTATCACCGAAAAAATTTTTAGAACGTTGTATACAGTAACGAACTTAATCGTCGCTTACAAGGTTCAAGTAAGTAATTCTATCAAATATTTATTATGTAATATATATGAAAATTTCTTTCATTAATTATTTACTGAGTTTGCTTTGTTTTTAAAAAAAATTAGATGTTACGTCCACGGCATGTCATCCAGGATTTATAAAATCAAATATCGCTGGTGGAGGTCCACTTCAACGTTTTGTCATGGTGTTCGCTAAGTCTCCCGAAATTGGTGCAAAAAATATAATGTATCCCGCTTTAAACCCAAACATCGATGAGGGTGGGAAATATTTTGAGGATGCTAAAGAATCCAAATTAACTGGTCAAGCATTGGACGAAGAATTGGCTAAAAAATTTTGGGAAAAATGTGAAGAATTATTAAATGCTTATGATGCTAATCTTTTAAAGTAGAATAAATATTTTACCATTAAATCTATAAATATACGTCTATCTGGTTATACCGACATCTGTCTGTAACGAATTTTTTAAAATTTTAAACCTATATCCTATTAAAATTCAGAAATATCTACTATTAAAATTCAGAAATGTAGC